GAGGATACAGTTGATTATTACTTTCTAAACATCACCCCCAGCTGCTTAGAGAAGGTCCTGGATTCACTCATAGAGCTTTCTCCATGGTAGTTCAGAACCACAGAGAGCAGGTGCATACATGCGTGCGCGTGCACACCCCCCCTTACACCCCTATATTGGAATCTCCTATGCTATCCATGCAAGACACTCCTTCCTGTCCCCACTCACCTCTCACAGACCAGAATCCACCAAAAAAGAAAAATATCAGTCCTTGAAAGTGCTAATAGCATCAACTTTGGAATCCAAATTATACTATTTTTGTTTCCATTCTATCTTTATAGTTTGAACTTTCCTTTGATACTTTGTAAATATTAATCATCTCAGAGCTTTTTGAATTGCAATGGCTTATAGTCAAAATTGGGCAAAATGTAGCATTTGAATAATAAAAACCCCATTAAAGTGAGGTTAAAGGAATTATTTTCCTTTTGTACAAGCCAATTAAGTGTCTTTACAATTAGAAAAAAAGTCTAGCAGTTTACAATTTCATACTCCATAAGCCAGTTTTTAATTAATGGAAGTGACAAGTTTTAGGTACAGGGTACATATTTTGCCTCTGGTGTTGTGTAGTTAACATTAATAAAGGGTATTAAAATTTGGTGAAACAAGAAAGGGTGTCTGGGTCATCCAGACTGAGGTCTTTGGTAAGCAAATTTCTTTACTTGATTCAGTTTGCATTTTCTTGACAAAATGCACAGGCAGGAATAAAGGTGTTATCAAGAGGTTATGGTGCCAAAATTCCAAATGCCTGGCCTGTCTTAAAGACAGAGAAACACTGAAAAAACAGTTTTGAAGAGTCTTATTTTCTCTTGAAGACAAAAGAGAAGGGTAGAGACAGAAGAAGTGATAGTGAATCTGGTCAGTACCGTACAAGATACTGGGGCTGAGCTCCTCATTCTTCTGCTGTTGGATTTTAGAGTACTTCTAGTTCATACACGTTTTATAATTTTAGCTTACTTATAATTATGACTCGTCCTTATAAGTAAACTTTTATATAAATTTTGAGTATTTTCTTAGGAAAGAAAGTTGGAAACTTGTCTTAGTTTGTTGGAACAGTTATTACAAATTACCATAAATTTGATAACCTAAAATAAGAAACTTAGTCTACCGCAGTTCTGGAGGCCAAACTTCCAAAATCAAGGTGTTGGCAGAGTTGGTTCTTTCTAGAGGCTCTCAGTGAGAATCCATTTAATGCCTGTCTCCAAGCTACTGGTGCAGATGGGCAATCAGAGGCATTCCTTGGCTTTTAGAGGCAACATTGCAGTCTCTGCCTTGGCCCTCACATATTCTTCTCTGGAATCTCCTGCTTGGCTCTTCTGTAAGGACACTTGTCATTGGTTAGTTCCACCTTAATGCAGGATGATCTCATCTCATGATATGAATTTAATTACATTTGCCAAAATCCTTTTTCAAAATAAGGTCACCTTCACAGGTTCCTAGTGGACATATCTATTAGGGTCATCATTTAACCCAATTCAGAAGCAGTGGCATATCATAGGGTGTGCCCCATAGATAGGCAAAATGGGGGAACATTATTTGTAGAGAATTCAAAACCAATAATAAAACTGATTAAAGGCCGAAACTGGTTTGGCTCAGTGGATAGAGCATCAGCCTGCGGACTGAAAGATCCCAGGTTCTGTTCTGGTCAGGGGCATGTACCTTGGTTGCGGGCACATCCCCAGTAGGGGGTGTGCAAGAGGCAGCTGATCGATTATTCTCTCTCACCGATGTTTCTGACTCTCTATCCCTCTCTCTTCCTCTCTGTAAAAAGTCAATAAAAAATATAAAATAAAAAAAAATGATTAAAGTTTACTTTGTTTTATTTTGATCAGACAGTGGCAATTCTAAACACTATCAATGATCAACTATTTCTCTCTGGAGGGGTGAACTTCTGCCTTAGCACTGCTCCATATGTACCCTACTGCCCGGAAACAGGATGGCTGAGTGAAATAATGTGAAGTTTTCTAATTGTTATGTTACATATTTTCAACTTATTATATAGAGTACAGGAATATAATCACCAGGTTTATACAAGATAAAAAGATAATATACTAGTAAATAAACAAATCTGGTCATTTAATAGAGAAAATCTTATTTACAATTTTGCTACTAGTAGAGTCTAACATGTTTCATCTTGTATTGCTTACTTTGTAATTTAGTTTTATAAAATTTTAAAATGTTCTTATCCATACTTCCTCAGGACTTGAAAGTTTTCTTATTAATTTGTAAGCATACTTTATATATTAAAAGTATAGGTTCCTTTTTGGATTGCACAATTTGTCATTGTTCCCTTTATTTAGATAACAGATTATTTTAGTTTTTAGAGTGTTTCCTGTATGCTTTCTTTTATTTATTTATTTTTAAATATATTTTTATTGATTTCAGAGAAAGGAAGAGAGAGAGATAGAAACATCAATGATGAGAGAGAGACAACTGCTGCTCCCTACATGACCCACGCTGGGGATCAAGCATGAAACTAGGCATGTGCCCTGACCAGGAATCAAACTGGTGCCCTCTTGGTGCATGGGGCAATGCTCAATTCACTGAGCCAAACCGGCTGGGCTATGCTTTTCTTTATTTCATGCCAATGTTTGTTTTTAAAAATTCAAGACTCTGGGTATAGGTTTTTATGAGGTTGAAACAAAATCAGATTGTTACAAAAAGTAATAGCTCTATGAAAAGTTTCTATAAATGAATATTGACTTTTTAAAAATAAAAATACAGGAAATTAGTTTACTTCCTATTCACATAGGAAATATTACCTGCAAGCCATTAGTGTAGAATCTGAGCTGTATAAGAAAACATCACCTTCAATCACCAGCTCCCATCAATTCCAAGGATTTGGAAACTCAAAGACCTCAGTGATTTGTCTGAAACTGAGATAAAAATGCAGACCTTTGAACTTATCATCCAGTACTCCTCCAAAACCCCACCTTATCTCTTTTTCTCTTGTCTTATTTGTTAGCCAAATTCCCAAATGCTTTTTTTCTATCAAGCATTTAAATTATTACATTGCTTCTTATTATAAAGACACCATATGTTAAAAATGGGAAAATATGAATGAACTCAGAAAGAAAACATTTTAGGACACTTTAGGTTTTGTGGTAGCAGTTAGACAGACATGAGCAGAGCAAGGACCATGGGCCAGGTACAGGAGGTCACCAGAGTGGAAAGCCCCAGGTGCCTAGCAGAACTGGGAAAACAGGGATCTTGCCCCAGGATAACCTTTCCTCCCCTTGCATATTGGCGGGGTGGCCATGCGGGTTAGACCCTCTGGCCTTTCAAATCCCTGGTCATGTGCTTCAGACCTTCCCCTGACCTTTCCTCCCCTCATGTCCCTAGTCATGTGGTAGACACCCTTGGAGAGGAACAAGGGGCCAAAGTGTGGCCTCATGTGACTCCCATATAAGCCCTTGCACAACCATTCCCTTAGTCCTTGAGTCCTAGGGACAAAACCTAGGTCTCTGTTGTGTTTCAGCTCCAAGCCCAGAAATGCAGCAACACCAGGCAAGCAATGCCATGGCTGACATCGGGATGAGCTGCATTGATTAATGACCCCCTGCCCTGGTGCAGACCAACCATTGGAGACAATGACCCTGATTGCATATACCTGGAAAGCTGATGAATATTCTATTGAGAGTCTTCCCTAGGACCTCCCCTAAACTCCCAAGCTTTAATAGCTCTTAGGACTGAGGACCCAGCACCTCACTCTCTAAGCCCACTGGAATGAATGAATGAAAATATATATATTAATGTACTTTGCTTTATTTCTCCTAAGCTTCAAGCACCATTCCTTTGCCTCTGTAACTTGTAAGGCTCACTTCTTCTCTCTGTGACTTTCTAAATATACTTTTTCTTATAGTTTGAATCTTGGTTCTAAATTCTTTCTTAGCCAGAACTCAAGCACCAAGGTTGCTGAATCAAGATCTAATACCTGGTGCTGTTTTCTCCACCTACATTATCATCCACCCATAAAGACAACTACTTTTAAGACTTTTGTGTATACTTTAATACTACTGTGCGTGTGCTCTGTGCATGTGTGTGATCATATAATAGTATATATTTTGTTTTTTATCATGGAGGTTTTACAGGGCCAATAGATTAGTTTGTTATTTTAATGGCTGCATAGTTTTCTATAATATACTTATATTCAAATTCATTTAATGATTTCCCAATTGTATATTTAGTTTAACTCTAATATGTTGTTTTTATGTTGCAATTACAATACTGGGTAGCCTTGAATATCTTTATAAAATTCTTATTAGTACCTTAGGATGACTTCCCACAAGTACAGTTTCTTAAGAACGATTTACGATTTTGAGTTACAGGAAAAGCTTACTTAAAATTTTTAAATTTTTTAATATGAAATAAATATGTACCAAATAAAATATTATAAGAGGCCTCCACTTACCTACCTCCAAAGCTCATTTCTAAAATGTAGATTTAATCTTACTTCTAGAAGAAATATATAAACCATATGTACCTGTATCTTTAGACAGAGCATTTCTACCTTGCTAAGCTTACTGAGAACCTACTAAATACTGGTTCCTATGTTCACCTTTTTTGCAGCATATTTTTCTTTTAAATTTACTTTAAAGACTATGTTGAAGAAGCTGAGAATTAGAAGAATTAAGAAGCATAGATTCAATTAGGTGGTAGGACCTACGTTCCAACCAAGGTGACCAACACAACCCGGTTTTCTCACTATGGCCCTGGTTTTATCTCTGAAAGTCTTGCATTCCAGGGACCCCTTCCTTCCACCAGCAACCCTGGATAGTTGTCAATTCCCAGTCTAAGGCCTTCCCCTTCAGAGTGATTTAAGATGTGACATTCTGGGATATCTTATTTCCAAGGGACTGGAATCTTGAAGATAGTGAATAATTGTTTATTCCTGAGAGAGCATGAGTTATCCTTGATTTTGGAGTGTTTATGCCCACATTTTTATTTTTATTTTTACTTTTCAGGTCTCTGCATGTGCTCGTGTGCAATGCAGCGGCTTTCGCTCTCCCCTGGAGCCTCACAAAAGATGGCCTGGAGACCACCTTCCAGGTGAATCACCTGGGGCACTTCTACCTGGTCCAGCTCCTTCAGGATGTCTTGTGCCGCTCAGCTCCAGCCCGAGTGGTTGTGGTCTCCTCTGAGTCCCATAGGTGGGTTGGAATTCTATGTTTTGTTCCCTTATCACCTTCTTGCACCAGCTAATATTCTCCCAAGGCTCTCTTTCTGAAAATAATTTTCATTAGTCCTACTCTGAAAAGTGTGAGTGCATTCAACCCTGCTTTATTTTTCGAGGTGTTTTTTTTTTTTTTTTTTTTTTTTTTTTTTTGTGTGTGTGTGTGTGTGTGTGTGTGTGTGTATGCACGCACGCTCGAGATTGTGGGAGATTATTTGGGGTTTTGAGTTCAGTTATGTAGATTGTTTTTACAACTCTACTTCAAGCCCCTCATTGATTTTTCTTTGAGATGAAATAATAATTGATTAAATCTGAATGCCTGACCTTTATTGATTTGTCATTCAACAACTTCAACATCTCACCAAGAAGAATGTGCAGTTATTCTAGGAGGAGAAACAATGCAATTAAAGACTGCGCGATGAAATCCAATTGTTTTATAATGAGAAATTAGGGAATTCAATGCAGACATTAGCTGTGTAATTGTAGGAGGGGAAGTGCTGTAGTTAGAACATATTAGAAATCTGGCCATGCCTCTTTTGGTTAAAATTTCAATTAAAACATCAGATGGCACTTCTTTTCTATCACCATTAGGAGGATATTCAGTTGAGTAAAAAAAAAAAAAAAAAAAATTGAAAATTTTATCGTATTTTCAGCATATTTGTTCCTAGAGTTGGATAAACAACTATTTGTCTGAAGAGAATTACTGGGGAAAGACAAAGGACTTGCCAGGTGAGGCTAGATTTACTGCATGTTAGGGAGATTTTCCTAGTGTGGTTGGGAGCTTTCACTCTTAGCAAAGTAGCTGAAAAAAATAATGTGCAAGTGCCTATTTTCTCCCTTCTTCTCCGCTGTAAGTCCTGAAATGTTTTAGTGACCCAGAATGAAGCTTATTTTTAAAATCATGCTTCCATAAAATGTAACCCCTGGGACTTGTAAGAGAGAGACCAGCCAAGGGTTAGCCTGAACCCTTTATCACTCCCAAACACAGGGGCTTAGGGTCTAAGTGACACGCTGCAGAGAGATTTACTTCTCCCATTTTAAATTTATGACGGCTGAAATGAAAGGAAAATGCCAGTAATAATCCTCCCCCGTGTTAAAAGACATGGAGCATCTAGTAATTAGGTGGTAACGAAATCTGGACATCCTTATCTTTGCAAATCACACCAGGTTTGTGAAAGAAAGTGGAGTGGCCCCATTAAGGCACGAGGGAGGCCACTGTGGGGGCAGGCGCAGGCGAGCTCTGGAAATAAATCTGCCAGCCCCAGTCATGTGCCAGATGTGGAGGGCACCACGGGATGTGTTTAAATGAGCTGGTATTTAATGGGAGATTAGGTTGAATTGTCAGCTGATCTGTTCCCTTTGTAAATCTGTATCTCGAACGGTATTTCAAGGGACGTACGTCTTTGTTCTCTCCTGAACTGCAGTGTAATTCATTCCTACCTTGGAGATCTGAATCTTAATTTTATTTGAAAAGTGAATTGGAAGGAAGGGCCTTGACCCATTTTAGTTTATAGACAAGGCTTTCATGAAGTGTGAGAGGAGGCTCACTCCTGTCAGGTCCTTGGTGTTGGTTTTCTGCATTAGGATGGTCCTTTGCACATATTGAAGGGTATTCTCTCAATACGTTAATTCCCCCAATATGGTTTGTTTATTACACAGCACCAGAGAGCCAGTGTGCACACTGGGTGCACAGGCCTGGGAACACATGCCTGGGAACACATTTGCTCACTGCTCAAGGACCCAGAGCCTTAACCCATGTTGTAAAATGGAGTGTTGATATCTAATTACCTCCATAAACCTTGGTGGAATCTCTTCCTTGGAGTCAGGACCCCCTGTTAGGGGAAAAATAAAGTCCTATGTTTGCAGAAAATATTATACCAGACTGCCCCAAGGCAAAATATTTATTTGCCCCCCTGTTTCTCCACTGTATGTTGGTTACTTATCTGGAGTGAATTGAGTTTCTGCATACCTAAAATACATTATATTAAAATGAGAACTTGACTTCTTCACTGTGAAAAAAATTTCAGATAACAATTTAAATAGGAGGAAAAGCACATTGCTGCCTGAACAAGTCTAAATGGCTACAGCTGTGTGGAGAGCTAAGTCACCACACACACACATACACACACACACACACACACACACACACTCACACACAGCTTCTGATGCAAATTCTCTTATTCTTTGAACGTAATAGCTTTTGTCTACATAGAATACAGACTAATTACTTTAGTTTGGAAATTTAAAAACCTTCAGTTAAAAAATAAAATAAAAGGATCAGTGTAAATTGAAATACAAGCTAGAGTTTTCCTTACATAGCCGATGTTAATGTCCAGAGAGAAAATGTGAGCATGTTCTGGTACTGGTAGGAGGATCATTCTATTAAGACATGATTGTTTGACTTTGTCAGATTTTCAGTTTGAAAATAGAGTAGGCAGCCTTTGAAGAGTTGTTTTAATGCCTCTGGAGCTGAGAGGTGAATACAGTCATTTCTTAGGAAGCCTGTCCTGGCTCAGAGGAATCAGAAGCCTTACCTGCCCTTCCCACTTCCTGTAGCGCTGTCAATACAAGCTAATCAGGCCTTAAAAATGGGTGTGCTGCCCAGGAGATCAGCTGGGCAGGAAATCAGGAGTCCACTTATGGGGGAGGGCTGGGTGCAGAGGGTGGGGGCCTGATATTTAGCAGCTGTGCTTCCTTGAAACCTTGCTTTAACTTGGTTCCATGTAATTTCTCATCATGATGTGTGTGTGTTTGCGCGCGTGTGTTTCTAGATTTCTAGATAGGGGCCTATGAATGAATGAATTCTCTCTTTTTAGGAATTTAATCAACCCATTATATTCCCCAGCCATGAGGTACTTCTGCATTGTCTTTAAAATCCAAAGCAGGGGACTCATTCTGAACCTCTGAAAGTGCCAAGTGCCACATTTCTATTCTCTCTAATGAGGAACATAAAGGATCTGAACCTAATGGTGAATTTTGCCTTTGTAGCAAAGCTCGAAACAAAGGTTTTTTTTGTCATAAGGGAGACTTGGCCCTTAGTTTGTTCTCTAACTTTGTATTTAGTTTGTACATTATATGAGGCAACAGGCAAAGCGGCTCGCTATCTATCTTTTAAAAATTCAGTCTAGCTGTGGGACCAGGTGAACAAATGCCTTGCAGGCTGGTGTGGTAATGACAGAGGCAGAATGTGTGGATAAAATACAAAGATGGCATAATTTGCTTTGTTACTGATCTTGGAGGGGTGGCAAGGTTATTGAATACTAATACTATCATGGATTGGGTCCTGGAGGTTGGATACTTAATTTCTGTGGAAACATGCATCTCAGTCCACTTTGTATTTTTTTTCAATCTATCCTCCTTTGCTACTTAAGAAATCAGTGTGACAACCGGCAGTGGTAGAGTTAGTTAGGGAGAGCTTCCTGAAGAAATGGCACCTGAGCTGGGTTGTACTAAACAAATATGCTAAGAAGGGTTTCCTGCAATAGGTGAGTGGAGAGGGAAGGATATTATATTTATCTTATACCTCTTAGATATTGTCTAAATCCTTGATGCACTTTTCTACTCAAGTAGGAAGCATTTCCAGGATATGGCCTATGGCTTGGATCATTGGGTTCTCAACTCAAGAGTCCCTTTTTGTAACAATTCTTTCTTACCACCTTATTATAGTAATTTTCAACCTTTTTCATCCCATGCCACACATAAAGTAATTACTAAAATTCTGCGGCACACCAAAAAATACATTTTTTTGTGCATCTGACAAAGAAATCTGTATAATTCGATTTGTTCACGTTGGATGGCTATTGTTGTGTTGTCTGTTGTAATTTTTTTTTTTTTAATTTGACAGTTTTAGGGAAAAGAAGCCAATGTCCCTGACAAAATAGTCAGCTGTGGTATGTTTTAAAAATTCTTTAAAAAAATATATTTTATTGATTTTTTTTACAGAGAGGAAGGGAGAAGGATAGAGAGTTAGAAACATTGATGAGAGAAAACACCAATCAGCTGCCTCCTGCACACCTCCTACTGGGGAAATGACTGCAACCAAGGTACCTGCCCTTGACCAGAATTGAACCTGGGACCTTTCAGTCTGCAGGCTGATGCTCTATCCACTAAGCCAAACCTGTTAGGGCGTGCTTTAAAAATTCTTGCGCCACATTGTTTGACAATTGCTGCCTCCTGAGAATGTTAAAATATAGTTCAGAAGTAATATAACTTCCATGCATAAATATATTTTAATTTAATGTTAGTTTACTGTAATATAAAGAAAAAAATTAATGTGAAGCAAATAGCATATGTTTCAACATGAGGACACTTGGGTAGGACTACAAGAAAGATAAGTATCAGATGCGCATGCCCCGGCATAAGTCACCTTGTGGGGGAGGATATTCACTAATGCAGACTGTGGACAGGCATGTGGCATTCCAAGACTCCAGTGCCACCAGCATTGAGTTAAGCCTCACCCCCAACTCCCCCCGGCCCTAATCAGGAACTCTGAAAGTGTACTCATTCCTCATTCATACAATTGTTGTACTACCCTCCCAGAAATCCAGTGGGTGTTAAAGCTGTGCACACATGTAAAGTGCAGTTAGGCCCTAGGCTCAGACAATCACACAGACTTTTCAGCTGCATGAATGTCCGGTGCAGCCAGTCCTCATTGAGCGAGATTCCACCTGCCTTGCAGGACAGCTATCATTAATAACCCCCACCCCCCACCACCCAGAATCATAATGACAATCAGAAAAAGGCTCCTGTAAATTTTTAAATTTTCTGCTAAGTTCCACTGCCTAAAAGGATTAAACTCAGAAGTCTGGGCTCTCCCAGTGGTTTGGGGACCTGGGGAGAGATGGCAGCCAACAATTTGTTTCCGAGTCCCATTGCTGTATCAGTGATGGTGCTTATGGCCATCAGCTTTGTTGATGACCTCAGAGCAGCAATGTAATTTAACACTAGAAACTGGATGTCACCTACTGAGTCCTAAAAAAGGGATATTTAATTTCCATTAAAACATGTATTTCTTCTGCCCCTGGGATACTTCTTTTAGTCATAGCTCAACTGAACTGCTCATGTTAAAGTAAGAAATGACCAGATTATTTCATCATTTTCATTTTACCTTTTCTTTGTTTCCCACAGCAGTTATCCAGATTCCTCTCATTGTGCTTCTTTATTACTCAGTGCTAATTTAATGAAGCGAACTAAGTTCTTAGCAATGACGAGTCCCTCATCTAGAAAATTCTTTTGTTATTATCCATGCTTTAATAGGCAGTCTCTACTTTGTTTTTGATTTTTTTTTTTAAAGGAAGAAAGAAAGGAAAGAAACAAACAGCTGGTGTTTAACGACTCCGTCAGACCCAATTATAAAACATCAACTACTTACTGTGATTTGTGTGTATCCATGCTGTGGGTATACTTAAAAACATTAGACCTCGCCAGAACTCGTTTTGGCTTTGTTTATATTTGTCTTTTAAACATATAAGACTATTGATGGCACCTCACCAAGGTTGTAACCCCATTATAATCATTAATTTTTAATCTGGAAAAAGAGTCTTGGAGGCAGCAAGACTCATCTATATATTTACTTGGATGCTCTAGTGAAACTATACAGGACTTCAGCGTTGGCTAAAATAACCCAGGAAAACCCTGTCAAAGGTTAACAATGTGATAGCTTCCTGCTTCCAAAAGCAACAGCCCTTCATGTAAGATGCTTTTCCATTTAACTTAATTATCCCTGAACTTCCTATTGAAAGTTTTGAAAACTATATGTGAGTGGTGGGGGCCATTTAGCATGTTTAGACTACTCCCTTTCTGAATTTGGGTCTTTATTAAGCCTGTCTTTGCATCCAGTTGGTTTATATTTTTAAATCACCATTGTCTATTTTTATGGGCAACTTTGTTTTGAGGTTTGCACCATTGGTTTTTCAGTAGTCTTTGTGTAGTTTTGCAGATTTTCAATAAAAATTAAGAAGCTATATCAGCCATCAGAGCTTGGCTGCTTCATGCCATCTTTTCTATTATTATTATTATTATTTTTAGATTTACAGATATTAATGATTCCTCAGGAAAGCTAGACTTCAGCCGCCTCTCTCCATCTAAAAATGACTACTGGGCCATGCTGGCTTACAACCGGTCCAAGCTCTGCAACATTCTTTTCTCCAATGAGCTTCATCGCCGCTTGTCCCCAAGAGGGGTCACTTCGAACGCAGTGCATCCAGGAAACATGATGTACTCCTCCATTCATCGCAACTGGTGGGTGTACACACTGCTCTTCACCTTGGCCAGGCCTTTCACCAAGTCCATGGTAAGTGAACGGCTTCGTCACCGCACACCCATTCACTGTGCCTTTCTAAAGGGTCCTTGAGAGACCCAGGCGTGCTTTCTTCAGCCTCTCACCTCTTGGAATGATGAGTCTGGTCTTGCTAATCACATCATCAAGCCTATTAAAGCCATTGGAAAGGGCCCTTGAACACATTTCAATCGACTTTTGATTATGTTTGTCTCTCTGAAGATGTCTCGGAGAGCTGGGTGGGAGATGTGGTTTCTCAGTATTGTGTTAGTGTGGCTAAAAGTCTTGATAGCAATTATTGGTTTTCTTTTGATGTGATTTTATTTATTATTATTCAGAAAGTGCAGTGCTTGGTAACTGTGTTTTGCATTAGTAGGTGAACAACATGGATTTGTGACCATTGTATTATCAGATGATGTGATTCCTTTATTTCCACTGAGAGTCTGTATCTGATGTTTCAGATTCTCTTTTCTTACTGGATATACTCCTCTCCTGGGGTATACTTTGTTGGCTAGAAGTGTGTTTTATTCTTTACTTCCTCAATAATGAATTATTTTGGATGAATCACACTACTGCAGTTAGATTTATCAATGTTCACAAAGGTAACTATGACGTTTTTATGTTTTTAATGGTCATATAAACCATATCTAGAAACTTCCTCTATGAAAGTGTTTTAGTAAAAAATAACTTGAATGAAGAATGCACATTTTATATAATGTATTTGATGTAGTATTTTTCTAATCTGCAGATTTTAATCTGGCTGTTTAGTATAGCTACTGACCACAGATGGCTATTGAGCCCTTGAAAAATGGCTAATATGAATAAAGAACGAACTTTTTAATTCAATTTGATATAATGTAAATAGCCGCATGTGCCTAACAGCCACCCTGTTGGAAAGCACAGTTGAATAAAGTGCCCAGCACACTGCCTGTGGTATGGTAGGTGTGTGGCACTTCTTGCCATGATGGTTGTTATCCTTGTTGTGAATATTACTTTGGTCCTGAATGGTATTTTCCAAAATGTAATTGCTGCCAATGGATACAGGGGTCAGGGAACTAAAGAATTCTATAAATTGGGAGTCTGCTGGTGGTTGTCGGCGACTTTTATCCCTGAACTCAACTGCCCGGGGAGAGGGTTACAGGCAAGGCTGGGAGGGTGCTCAGCTGGGGAGAGCTTGGTTCTCCAACCTGTACATCTGGTTCCTGTGGAAACCACTGTGTAGTAGACGGTTCATGTTCTCGCCCCAAGTGATCATCTTTTAAATGTCACAAATGCACTTTTTTAGATAAGCCTATTGATTAGGAAGACTATAAACTATATAGCTAAATTTAGATTCTTAGGAAAATTCTAATAATATCATTATACATGTAGTTATTTGATAGCATTTCTTAGCCATTAGAGCTCCATATGAATAGGTGTATAAGGAGGGTGGGAACTCTGGACTTGTTTGTTGAACTCACAGCCAATCACTCCTCTTTCATAAACATTTAAGACTCTCAGAGGAGAAACTAGCATGAGCGTAGACCTGGGATCACTGTATTTTACTAGATGGGGCTTATTAGGAAAGTCACTGTATGTTTTTTCCTTCTTTGTGCTGCTTCTGATAGCTTTTATCATGAGAAGACACTTGTTTCATGGGTGAAGAGTGCACGTTTGCCGTTGTAATGCAAACACGTTTTTGGAAATACTAAACCATGCAGTTGCATTCCCATTCCTACCCATGGAAACGTTGGATTCCTATCCCTTCTTGCGCATTTCACTTCAGAGAAAGTGTTTTCCCTTGACACGGGTGTTGCCGAAGTACCGTATTTTTCGGACCATAAGACGCTCCAGACCATAAGACGCACCAGTTTTTAGAGAAGGGAAATGAAGAAAAAAAGATTCTGAAACAAATAGTGTCCTAAAATATTTTATGTGCATTAAAACCCAACATCACAGTCATAAACACATGTAATCAACCCTGTAAAGTAAACAGCAGCATTTAGAACCATTTTAGAGCCGGGCAAGCACACAGAGACCACACAGAGCCAGGCAAGTAAAAAAACTTTTTTTTTAAAGTATATGTGTAGGCTATATTTGGACCATAAGACGCAGGGACTTTTTCCCCCCACTTCTGGGGGAAAAAAAGTGCGTCTTATGATCCGAAAAATACGGTATATATTCCATTGTACAAGGTCAAGGAAATAAGAGCTACAACTCGGCCTTGTGCTTGGAAGCCCTGCATGGGCTTCTCCCCCACAGCCTGCTCCCTGAAGTATTAAACAGCAGTATTGTAATATCAGTGTCCCTTTTTTATTTGCTGTGACTTGCTGTGACTATGGTGATTTTAGTTACAGTAATTAGGTCACCCTTCATGGAGTCAGGCTATTTTAAGTGCCTCTTTAAGGAATATTGTTGCAGATCAGTAATTTTACAATTGGATGTTCTTGTGTAACTTTATTAAATGTAATCTGTCTTTTAAATGTTGCCCTTTTACAGTTATACATTTCTAATTGTTGCTGTAAATGCATTATCACTTTGAAATTAATTAATTTTTCCATTTTGGCCGCCTGCAGTATAATAATCACTAATGAGAAACTCATAGGGATTAATTTTCAGCTCAGCGACCCCCACTGGTAAAGTGTGTTTCTGCCCTCTCTTACTCTTGAGGTCTCGGGGACAAGACAGATTCTTGGGGATCCTGGGGAATTTGTGAGTCCTCCAATTTATAATAAAATAACAATAGTGGATAAAATGGTAATAGGGTGTGTTTTTTTTTTTTCTTCATGTTTAAAAAAGATGCAAGATTCCTCAACTAGCTGCTATTAAAACATCTTTAAGGAAACTGATGTTTGCTGGCAGCTTTTAAATAATGAAGTCACATACATTGCGTGTGCTGTATTTTTATGCCTCTTTTTATACAATTAAAATATTCTAAAATTACATTTTGCATATGTATACATCAATATATTATATGTTGTATGTTAGTCTACTAGTATAAGATATATTTATGCATTCATATTGCTTTATGAGGTTTAATTCACAAAACCTGGCAATCTGTATTTTCAAGGATAATTTTGGCTAAATGCAGTTGTTGCCCAGTGGGATGGCTTTATATTCCTGGCATATTCTCAGTAAGGTGCAACTTAGCAGTGTAAGCTGGGCACCATGATGCTGCCTATATCAGCATATAGATCTTTAGGTATCTCACAACCCTTCTGCAGTGATAGAATTATTATCCTCATTTTGCATTTAGAAGCACAGAGAACTTGCCCAACTTGTTCAAGCAAATGGTATTTCAGCCTTAGAACCTTCGTTATCTATTTCAAGTCCACTTTCTGCATCAGTGCCCCATAGTACCACTGCCACAGATACCCAGTTGTACAGATATATTTTCTTCTTACAATGTTTGAAAGAGCCTTCGTGAAATTAGCCCTCCGCCCGTCCATGTCCCCCCACATAAGCTTCCAGTTCTGGGAAATAACATCCTAGGCCCCAGCAGCCCTGTGCGGATCCATATGTAAATCTGAAGCTGAGTACTATCATGTGCTTCTTAGGGTGTTTTGTGCAACCAAATATTTATGTTGGCAGGTAACGGTATGAAGAATATCATGTGTTAGGGGAGCAAGAGCTTAGCAGATGTTTTAGGGAGCTACATTTTCAAATCATTTTACATTAAAAAAGAGCTTGAGTTGGTAGAACTTTGGAAAAGATTGGGTTACGTTTCCTGTGGCCGCGTAAAGCCAGGCATTGTGCTGAGTTTTAACAGATGTTCAGCAACCCTGTTAATGGACGGGCCTGCAATGCCGGTTCTGTTGCAAAGTTATAAATTAAACTAGAAAAAGCACAAGATGTCATTCTCCTAACCTTCCGGAAAGCCAAGCTGGGTAATTCTGCCCTTGAATAACCTGCTGCAGGGTGATTTATAGTTGGACAATTTAAAACATAATGAAGGAGATAATAGATGTTGATTTGTTCTTTAAATTAGTATTTTAGAAAAATACTCTCCCCCTCTCCCCTTTAAATACCTGCAGCTAACTACACCCCAGATGCTGTCAAGGACAGTTCCCTCCTCCCCCCACCCCACCTCCCTTGAATCTCTTGGCACATGGAGTAGAAAGCAGGGACCGTTTTCTGTTGGGAGGAGGAAATACCACTTTCAGAGTAGAAATTTCAGCCTATTCTTGATTAATCTAAATAGTTTGAGACTCTCTAGTGAGGACTGATTCTCGGGCTGCCATGCTCTTGCCCATTTAGAAGTGTTAGAGAAGCAGACTTTGAGGACCCTCGAGGCTGGGCCACACTTGAGCTTTCCTGCAGACCTGCACAGAGGACCTGGTGACTGGGCTCCTCTCCTTGCTGAGGCCATATCCCTGCAGCCTCAACACCCTTCTTACAGCATTATCATTAGCATTGGTTTTATTAGCCACTGCTCAATTCTGTCCGGAGTTTTACAATATACAGTGTTTGTTCAATTCAGAGTCCAAGGGATATGGTAGAGCAAAAAGGAGTGAAGGGTTTAGCATCATTGGACCTGAGTTTAAAACTCAGGTTTCCACTCTTTTTTAGTTTATAATATTGAAATTATTCAGCTTCTCAGAGGCTCCTTTTCTACTTTACTTGACATGTTTTGGACTGTGAGTTAATTAAGATGCAGTTAAAAGTGGTTGGAATAATAGAGATCTGTTCTTCTCATTGATCCAGGAACCCCAAGGCAGCCAGCGATGCCTTTGACTCCTGTATTTAGGCAGCTCCTTTGTGATTGTCTTACCTCTTTCCTTCTGTTTGTAAAATGGCTGCAGTGCCAGCCATTGTATCCTACAGGATAAGGCCTGAAGATAGGATGAGAGGGATGGGGCCCTTCCTCCTATGCTTCTGTCTCAGAATCATCCTCCATGGAAAACTTCCTCTCAGCTCACTGGCCAGGATTGAGTCACTTGTTCATCCTAGGAGCAGGGAAGCTGAGAAAGTGCATTCCTGGCATCTTGTGTCTCTAGGACAGTATGGGAGATCTGATGGCAAGGAAAAGGGGTGGA